TCATATTTTGTGAATTTTTGAAGTTTAAATGCTTATAAAAAAAAATTGTGACTAAGGATTTTTAATATTTTTCATCTGCCTTTGAAACAACATATTAGGAGCCTTCTATTAAATTTTCAAGCTTTCGCAACCAACAAATAAAATTTTATTGAAATTTTTAGAAAAAAAACTAAAAAAAAATGGAAAATGAAAATGTCCCTAAACAGTTCAAAATAAATCAAAATATTTTGAAAATGTTATCGTGTATAGAAAATTCAAATATAAACAACCAGTGAAAATTTCATGTATATACGTTCATTTGTTTTAGAGTTACACCAATAACCAAAATCGATTTTTTGGAAAATCAATTTTGCGTAAAAATTCCCGTTTTTCCTTAATTTTTATGTTGTTTTTCCCGGCGCTTGTGAAAACTACTGGGAAATTTAAATTTTGACCTCCCAATGCACCAACGATATTCACTTTCCAATCGAACAAGATACTGAAGTCGAAAATCGAAGCATTATTTCGACTACTTATCGTGTACGCAGATACAAAAAAAATAAAAAAATAAAAAAATAAAAAAACACACATCATTGTAAAATCAATACATTCATCGTTTCACTCAGAATCTAAAATAAATGTTATGTGCAATTTTGTGCTTTTGAATGCTATGGAAATTCTGAGAGTATTAAATATAATCTAAATAAAATTCCAATTGATGGAAATATTTTCATTATTAGTCAAGGAGATGTTTATTTTGGAAATGGAAATCCTTATATTTCTAAATTATTACATTCACCAACTTGGTTAGAACTTTGTAAAATAGCTAATGAACAAATTATTACAACAGATGATTATACTCACCATTATCTAGATGATATTAAGATTGTTCAAGATTTAGGAAATATTAAAATGTGTGAATTTTTTATGGGATCTTAATATTATTTAAATAGAATTTTTAATAAAAATTATTTTTATTAAAAAATTGAAAGTAAAAAAAAATAATATTCTCTATAATAAATGGAAGGAATAAATAAAATTGAACCTTTAGTTAAAAAGAATTTTAACAATAATAAAATGGATAACAAAACTTGTGATAAATGTAACTTAACAGTTAATTACAAAAATTGGTCTAGACATTTGAAATCTATTCGTCATCAAAACAATGATCCAGATCAAACAATTATACCTCGATTTAGAAGAACATACAGAGGTACAACAACAACAAATGTAAGAAAAAGACAAGAGAGAATACCAAAAATAGATAAAACTTGTGATATTTGTAAGATAACAGTTAAATACAACAGTTGGTCTAAACATTTACAGTCTATTCGTCATAAAAATAATGGTATAAGACCAAGAAAAGAGTTTGTTTTTAAAACTGTAGAAACAGCATTTCAAAATAGATTAATAACTTATATTATTGAAAATAAGATGGGTATAAAAGATATACAAATGTTTTTAAATCGTTTAGGTAATCCACTAATTGAACGACTTGAACAAGCATTAAAGAATCAAAATTTAAAAGTTAATATTATGTTTCTTGCTATATATAAGAGAGGTACTAATGAAGAAAATATGGAATATAAGGAAAAAAATTTTAAAACACAAAATAAAATTTTAACAAAAAATTCTAACTGAAATTAATTTTATACAAATGCAAAAATTAAAATTGTAAAAGAAGAAGAAGATTTTATAATGAAAGATTCACAATGGATACTTCATCATATTTTAAGTTTGCGAATAAATATAAATAAATATGTTCCTTATAAGGGTTCTTCATATATTCCATTACCTAAACACATAGGAGATAAACATGCTATTATAAATGTTAATAATAAAGATGATAAATGTTTTCTTTGGGCAATACTCTCTGCTTTACACCCTGTTGAAAAAAATGGACAAAGAGTAACTAAATATTGTAGTAGAATAAAATAAACGAAGAGGAGGGAAGTCGGGGTAGTACGCAGTGGCGGTAAACTACAAAGGGTGTGAATGATTGAAGTGGTGTGTTTATCGTAAATTTTATCTTACTACAGAATATTTTTATTTGAATACCGAAATAATAATTTGTTATTGATTATATAGTGTATGTGGTTTCACTTACCTTGTATTGTCGTGAATAAAAACGTGTAGACTCTCGTTGGAATATTGATTGGAGTACCGTTTCTAATTGGTGTGAGTCGATGCACGTTATTTATACTTTACGATTTACACTACAATATCCTATTGCAATTAAGTATACATTTCTATATTACACACTGTTGGCTCATTACGATTGTGATAGAATGGAGTTTGTAAGGATATCTTTTGATGGGAGATGAGGATATTATGAAGATTGCTTTTTTTACTACAGTTACTTATGTGCTGACATTATGAATCCATGCATATCTGTTATATATTATTATGGTATCTGTCTGTTTACTTCAAGAAGTATTTATGAATGAATTTTATTACTAGTCTTCTGATTGATATTAGTATAACACGCGTTTCTATTGCTTATATATTTGAGGTTTAGTCGCTTAGGATGAAGGTACTTCGGCCCAGCGCATAAGTCTGCCCGGTCCCTTGCTCGAGATCTAAACTGCAGATATACTTTGGCAAGCCAATGTCTAGTAGAGACAATGAATTGACAAACGGTAATAGAAGTGAACTTTATGTAGATACTTTACGAGTTAAAATGCATTTCATGTACGATACAATTGATTCATGTCTAGTATTCTTAGGAATGTATAACTTGGATAGGAGTATGTGGATGTCTTCCCTACATGACTTAACATTACTGAAGGGTTGTTAGGATTGTAAAAAATTGAAATAACAATGTTGTTATGGTAAAATAGCAAAATGAATATACCAAAAGTGAGCTCATACCTGGTTTCAAAACGAAAACAATAGTAAGTTAACTTTGTAGAGAAAGATTAATCTTGTGTCAAAAAAAGAGAAACTGGTCGATGTTGTATGGTTTATCCGCGGCCGCCATCAGCGTGGTCCTCTGTGTTGAACTGACATGTTGCGTGGAGTGTACTATTGTGTGTATGTTGTACTGGTGTCTTTGTTGTTTGTGCGTGGCGTTTATATAAGGAAGCGATTGTCTTATCCCCACTCTATTGTTATTACGTAACGTTACAATAGATTATTCGTCTTTGTTATGTGAATTGCGCATGTGCGCGTATTCATGTCGTGTTTTCGCATAATGTCGTTGGGTTTTTTGCAAATTTTATATGATAAAAGTGTTCCCTACATTGAGGGTCATCTTATGATTCTTTTTGCGCATAATATTAGTAGTGATTTCAGTTTGTTTGACCAAATATCGTATGGTGCGCATGTATGCACGTTTTATGTCGTTTTTGCTCGTTGTTGTTAATTTTTTGGCGATATCAGTATGAGAAGGTTGTTTCGTATACCTACTGTGTCTTGTTTTAATGTTGTTTTTGCGCATAGGTTTGGTAGTGACATCTGTTCATTTGACCGAATGTCGTTCAGTGCGCATACATGTACATTTAAATTATATTTTTGCACTTTGTCGTTAGTGTTTCTGTAATGTTAATATGAGAAAAGTAATTCGTATGTTAAATGCTATCGTATTTGTCTTGTTGCGCATAGTCTTGGTATCAACATTTGGTTGTTTCACCAAATGTTGTGTAGTGCGCATATGTGCACATTTAAGTTGAGTTTTGCACACCGGAAGTGTTTCTGTGGTGTAAGTTGTATAAGCTTATTATGTTGATGAATAAATTATTTGGTATTATGATTTCGTAAGTTAGTGCTATATCGAATTTTGATGAGGTGTTATCTTTTGATTTGCGTTGTGATATATTGTTGCCATTTTCTTATTTTCCCTTCGTGTAATTTTTAGTAGTGGTATTTTGTCGCTTAGGTGCTTGAGTGAGTAACATATTTTGATCATATGTCATTGTGGGTTTTTGTAATTTTTGTATGGAGTATTTGTTTCAATAGGTTGTGTGTTCATGTGTGTTTAATGTCCTTTTTTCATTTGTGTAAAGTTTTAGCGACAGTTTTTGGCATTCAATTAATTTTTGTATTTGTGCGCATGCGTCGGTGTTCGTATAGTGTGGAATTTTCGGTTACGTAATGATGTACGTGTGTTGCGTAATGTTTTCTTATCTTGTTGTTTCTTTATAACCATATATGGGCATGTTTTTTTAGTGTGTGTACGTCTCGGAAATATTGTTATGTAATCGTTAAGGAATGTGGGTTGCCTAATATTTCTTGGTATTGCGTAATATATTTTAATTGCGTTTGTGTTTTTACACCCAAGTATTCATTTTGCAAGTTTATTTAAATATAAAGTGTATTATTCATATATTACAATATATTCGCTTTAAAAATGAATTTGATAAAGAATTTAAAGATATTAAATTTCCAGTAAAAACCACAGACGTTCCGAAATTTGTTAAAAGAACAAAAGATATTTCTATTAATATTTATTGTTTAGATAAAAAAGTAATTGTACCTTTACAAATAAGTAAAATCGAAAAAACTAATCATATAGATTTATTATATTTGACAGAGGATAATAATATGAATAAAGGACATTATTGTTGGATTAAAGATTTATGGACTCTAATAGGAAGACAAGTTATAAAAGATGGTCATAAAAGATTTTTGTGTAAAATGTGTTTAAGTAGTTTTGATTAAGAAAATATAATATTATATAGGTATAAAAAAATGAAAAATACGAAACTGAATCTTACTCAAAACTTATATATTGGTTTTTATGGAACTTTTCTTAGCAGGGCAGTATCATATAATAATTTATTACAAGATGTGTAACGTATACAAATTTATAATTATTATAACTATAAAACTATAATATAAATTATTATTACTTACCAATCATGTACAAGCAACCAAGTAAACCTTTTATTTCCCGTGTGGTTGTATGAGCTACATCTCTTTCTCTGGTAAAATTTGACTTAATTTTATCGATATATATATTTGTACAGAACACTATATGTTCAATCATAGGACCCGTAAAAAAAATATACCACGCGTCAATTTCAGTTTTTTGCATTTTTCGCCAAATTAGTCACACCTGGTTTTTCAGTTATCTTATTGTAACTTGGATTTTTTGTTCTCAGATTTGGCTTACGACGATTCCATTTTGTCCCATCTTTTCCATAAAAACACTCTACACGCATACTTAGTGGAATTTCGTCGTCAGATTCATGATAAGATTCGCAATCTGCTGATAGTGTTTGTTGAATATCATTGTGAATCTCATCATCGGTCGATTCTCTTGATTGTTCGGTGTTCGAAGTTTCTAATACATCAAAATGTTCATCGGGTGAACATTCGTCAGTGGAAGATGTATCACCCCACAATTCCTCGTCACTTATGTCATCCAATAGGCATGCAATACGACGGCGTTCTAATTCGTCCATACTTACAAAAAACGACTATAATTTAATAAAAATAAGCGCGCGCGGGGTAAATTTTTACCGAACTACAAACACAACCAATTTAGTCAACGATTACTCACGTACTGATTGTAATTAAATCCAGATTGTTACGTTTTTATGATTGTATGATAGTGACTATAAGATAGCATGACCCGCATGAGTGTGGAAAAACCAACGAATATTTGATAGCATTTTAAAAATAGACTGAGGTAAATAATTACCCCGCGCGCGTCATCAAAGGTTAACAAACTCCAAACCGTTAAATTGTTGACCGTTTTATTCACAGATTTTATTGAATCCCATGCACTACAAAAATGCTGATTTTGGAAAATCACTATTTGTTAGTCATTAAAATTGTTGTTATTAACATATTATCTGAAATATTTTCACCTGCTACTTTAAATCGTTAGCTAACTTCTCTAATTTTGAAATGTGTGCTGAAATTTTATGTATAGGAATTTTTACATAACTAAAAAACTTTTGTTGAAGTAAGTAGATATTTACCTCAGATTTTCGTTCATAAACACTAAGTAGTTTTTCCCACTTTTGATATGCATTTTCACAATTAGTTAAATACTGCTATTGAAGTTACTACTATCTTTTGACACTTACTGTCTGCTTTTGTCCATGCGCTTATTTGATTTTTATGACGGCTTCATGCATCTTCATCGCTCTCTTTATCTGAAAGTTTAGTTATCTTGACACTTGGTTTTGTCCATTGACCTGTACACAAACCACCTAACTCGTATGAGTTAATTATTACTGTCATTTGGAACTTCCACAACAGCCATCCTTCTGCGTTCGTCAACTTTGACACCCAGACCGAATCTTCCATGATTTGATTAATAAATGACCTGCAAAAATGTACCTTAGTCTTTTAGTTCATTAAATAATACATTAATTATACTTTCAACACATTTCTAAGTCGTTGTTTCACACAATAGAACTATCGAGGGCCAACTTCGTTTTACGTAATAAATAACACTGTTTGTAATTACGAGTAGAGAAATTATTAATTAAGAATTAAAGGAATGTCGATGTTAACAATTTGTTAAAGGTCGGAGCACACGTGGTATCGAAGGTAAACGAAATTATCGTCACTATGGTCTTTCGCGGCTGTACGATCTCGCGCTGTACTCTTATAGGCGCTGTCTATCGCCTTCCGCAGGGGCAAGTCGAGCCGTGGAAGCAGAAGCAGATGATCACTTTCCTATCTAGTGGTTAATGGCGGACCGTAGGTCGTTGAGAAAGCAGGGAATAACGAAAACACGATGTATACAAGTCGACGGGTACAAGTCGGTACAAGTCGACAGAAAGAACGGGCATGGGCCACTGGGGCCGGGACTCGACATTTTAAATCGTGTTACGGCGGCCCCTAGATGTGCTGACAGCCGACCTCCTCCACCACTTTCATTCGACCCACTCGTGATAAAGTTTATCTTGATAGTAAATAACATTGATAGTAAAAAAAAAATTAAAAAATACCTATTATACTTGATGCATTACAATACATATTATATTATTAGTAAAACTATATTACAATTTTTTTTCCGGTGTTCCAAATCATTTGCAAAAATATGGTATTAGCATAGAACAATATAGAAGCGAAACTCGATCAGCTGATTGGGGTCTTGGTTACCTATGATCTGAAGTCTGAACCAACGAAAAACATGAAAGTTCAACATTCCAAGTCTATGGCGGGATACGGGACGCGGGGTCAGCTTGTTTACCATTCCCTATTTCATGTATGCCACGCCCCCCCTGGAGACCGGGTTCAAGGCCGCAATCGCCTGATTCGGCCAACGGACGGAGTTTCGTACCCCTGGTATTGGTTGTGGACGATACGATAAAATCGGGGTGCCAACTTCACGTACGTTCAAACAAAACTGTGTAACACCAATTGAGATAATCATTTCTACTATTATTGCTACATTTCCCCGGTAGTGGAGCGTTCACTACTACAACATAATACGGTACTCTTTCGCTATCGTCGCTAGCTTTTCTTACTACAGAAACAGTAGAATCCAAATAACCAGTTATCGTTCCTTTTGCATTTGGATTTCAATTTTGTAAGTAGATTTAATTGTTCATCACTATAACAATGTACATATGAAGGTAAACCAACATGTTTTATATAATTACAATTTTCAGAATACATCAACAACATGTCTACCATATCATCTCTGTCGTAGTCATCAGCACTTATTGCTTCCGATCGAATTCGTCTTAGTACGTCGACCGACTTAACCTTTTGATTGTTGCCTCGGGCTTGCTTGCTCGGCGAAGCAGATTTTACCAAGTCGTAAGTAAATACTTTCGTATTTTTCAACGTTCCTCTGACCAAGTCTTTTTCTATACCTCTGACATGGTTTTTTAGGGCATAGTCAGGATTGTGGTAGTAATGTAAACTAGTAATCCACACATTGATCAAAACATAACTGCTGTTTATTTGAGGTTCAAAAATAAGCTTAGAACTTTTGCATCCAGGGTGACTGCAGTACATAAAGATATGGCAGTTTGTATGAGCTTTAAGGATAGTTTACTGACCTTATGTGATGTTAACCTTAATACATGTGTTGTTAACTGTTCTAATTCGTTTCCTCAACATTATATTGAACTTTGTAGGTTCAAGACGAATTCCTTTTTCGTTAACATATTTAATAAGCGACTATTCTTGCTCCACAAACATAATTTGACCTTCTTTATATGTGCAGCCAGAGAATGTTCTTGAATTGTTTTCTCTACGGCTAGCTTTATTTTGATATTTATGTAACAGTGGAAACACTGTTAGTCAGTTGTTGTGCAGTCACTTGTTATCAGTGGCGTTTCCTGACTTTCGGCGTTAGGCGTTAATGTGTGAGGAAAACAATTAGGAAAACCCCCCTTATGGGAAATAAATTCGTATCAACTATTAATAATCAAATTAAAAAATTATTAAAATTATTTATTATAATATATTATGTTTTCGACGATCGGCATTGCAGTCTTGCAGTATAGTGTATACTGTATAGTACCTATGGGCTACGACGTAAACAGGATAACGTGCAGCCGCGACGATCCCCACTAACGGTCCAAACACAGTGTATAGGCTAGCGCTAGACTAGTGACTAGTGAGTAGTGGCTAGTCGTTAATTTCATTTTCAACGACTTGGTCTAGTATTAACATGGCACCGAAGTTATCCGAAAATATCACGACAAATTACGAACATGAGATATTAGATACCACAAGTCGTTGTTCGAATCATTAACGTCCTACACGGCTACACCCTACACAAACACAACAATACAACATAATACAATATTATTCCGTAATCGGCGTCGTAGCTGCAGACGGCGCGGGCGCATGGTCGAGTTTAGAGCTTAAAATAGACAATAGTTTATTATTTGATATTATTATTTTTACATGACAACTATTTTAAGATTTTGTAAATACAATTATATAACCATGTAATATACTAATATGATATATGAATATTACAAATTACAATATTACACACATGTATGACATCAATGTTTAGGGCGTTAACACACAACTTGCACACCCAGAGAAAACGCCACTGCTTGTTATCATCTTTATTATATACGTTTTTTTCTGTTAAAAACACTATTCTAGTATTTTCTATTTAACTACAAGTTCGACCCGTTGGCAAAATGGATATGTTGGGATTATTTTTTCCATCCGCCATTAATATTGAAAAAAATACTACACTGTCATCATAACACTCTATATTATACATAATATATAGTCGTGTCACTGGACTCCAAATATTAACTCCGACTCCCGAGAGACGACTTTACGACTAAGTTCTTGGATCAGTCGACAATATTATTAGATTATTGAACCCACACGCGGAAACACATTTTTATATACGCAGAGAAGGACTACAATAATTATTAGTACTTATATGTATATATTTTTGTAGTGTATAAATTGAAGGGTGAACTTCTAGTTGGATATTTATGACGAAGGATGCGCATAGTGAGTACGATGAGTAGGGAATGTAAGGCAATGTCTTCATAATGACGACTAATGTGCAAACAAATTTAGCTTAATACCTTTATATTATATTATATTATAACTAGATTCCGGTGTTTGTCATCCCGCCTACGGCGGAAAGACTGTGTGGGCGGTGGTGCATCTTTGTCGGCTATGCTGGGTTTTTTGATCCAGCCTGCGGGGGGAAGGGGGTTCGTCGGGTATTATGTTTTGTCGTGTTGGCAGCACTTTTTAAGCAATAATTTTTGAACTCGGAAGAGTGTCTAGTCGTAAGTCACACGATTCAAGTCGATCGTAAGACACAGCCAGCCAGGTTCGGACTACGTCGGATCGCAGACCATGCCCCATTCGTGTATGCCGGTTCTTGAGTGTGTGTGTTGAAATCGGAAATTCGGATTCTGGGTTTGAGTGTCTAGCTATCAGTCATCTCGGGTAAAAGTCGATTCCCGAGTGTCGGATGCAGTGGGGGACACTGGGGGTGTAAGTCGCTCGTATGCAAGTATTTTCTAAAATATACCTTCCATGTATATTTATTTAATTATGAGAATTAAGTCAAATTAACAAATAGATAATTATATTGGTGAATAACAAATTTTATTGAAATGTACTACTATCCTATTAAACGTAGGTATCTATAAATGAATACACTATACATACTCTCGTTTCCGACACACTACTCCACCCCGGGACTCAAATTTTCGAAAAAAACGGCTAATGAAGCAGTCATATTACAGTCGTACTATTTTTTAATATAGTATTTATAATCTGTAGCAGTATTTAACCAAATCGGAATCACGTAAAAACTGTAATATATCAAGTAGGTACTACACGTAGGTTAGTTATATTATAATGTATTATTAAAAGAAACATGTAGGTGCGTCGGTAAATGTTAATTATAATAATTTTTTTGCCCAATAAATATCGTCAAACGAATAATAATAATATATATAATATAATAATGCAAATTAAAAAAAAAATTAACACTTTCGTTAAAAATGATAAATGTGACGAAAAAAAAAACGCAAAAAAAAGAAATTCGATTTAACACGGCCCCGCCGGCGTTCGAAACCACGACCGTCGAATCACCCGTTTTAACGCCTAACCTACCTAGCCACCTACCGAGATGAAATTAGGAGCCAAATCTATGACTCTTAAGGGCGTTTGAGCGGACCACCATGTCCGCCACCTTCGGACGTTCAAGACGCGAGATTTGCGAAAAAAATCGAACCTCGAGGCGCATGTATATATGCCTGTATATAGCGATACCTACACGGTACCTACTCTCGTTTCTGACACACTACTCCACCCCGGGACTCGAATTTTCGAAAAAAACGGCAAATATAGTCGTACTATTTTTTAATATAGTACTTATAATCTGTAGCAGTATTTAACCAAATCGGAATCACGTAAAAACTGTAATATATCAAGTAGGTACTACACGTAGGTTAGTTATACGTTATTATAATGTGTTAATAAAAGAAACATGTAGGTGCGTCGGTAAAATCAAGTATTAATTAAATGTTAATTTTAATTATTTTTTTGCCCAATAAATATCGTCAAACGAATAATAATAATATATATAATATAATAATGCAAATTTAAAAAAAACATGTAGGTGCGTCGGTAAATGTTAATTATAATAATTTTTTGCCCAATAAATATCGTCAAACGAATAATAATAATATATATAATAATATAATGCAAATTTAAAAAAAAATTAACACTTTCGTTAAAAATGATAAATGTGACGAAAAAAAAAAACGCAAAAATAAGAAATTCGAATTAGTACGGCCGCCGCAAATAACCGAAAATCCCGGACGGCGGTTTCGAACCCACGACCCTCGAGTCACCTTTCTTAACGCCTAACCAACCTAGCCACCTACTCGGATGAAATTTCGAGGCAAATGTATGACTGTTAAGCCGCGTCGCCGTGCTCGCGGCGATAAAATAAAATTCTTATCACTTTCCTTATCAATAAAAACAATATTTAAGAAAATCCCAATAAATCCTATCAAAAACTCAAAACCCCGAGTTTCCCCTTGGCGAGGTGGGTGTTAGTACTCTCCCGGACCAAAATCCATCAAAAAAGCAAAATCCAAAAAGGGGGGGAGGAGGTGCCCCCGTTCCCTAAAGCGGAAAACGGTAGTATTCATAAAAAGAATGGGTTCCCCGTTGGTCCGAGGTCTTTAACTTGAATTCCGGCCGAGTTATACTCAACTCAAAATGTGGGGGGGGTGGGGGCTTTGGTTCCCTAATGTTGAAAATTCATCTGGGGCCTAAAAAATTGAGATGCCCATTGGTACGGGGTCTCTAAGTCGAATACCGGCTAAGTTATACTTGGTCAAAAATAATTACTCGTTTAATGGGTCCCCCCACTCCGCCCGACGGTCGCGGGGTAATCGATTTATAAGACGTTATTATCACGTCAAAAAATTGAAAAACACGGGTTTTTTTTTAATAATAATAATAATGTTCGAAAATATTAGGATCGATAAGGAAAAGGGAGATAAGCGAGCGGAATTTATAGCGAACGCGCGGGAAGTATTGTGATTGGTCGTCATGGAAGAAACGCGGAGTGCCGTCAGCGCTCCCCGCGGATCTTATACGCGTTATTAGCGTTTTATTATATAAGACTAGATTCCGGTGTTTGTCATCCCGCCTACGGCGGAAAGACTGTGTGGGCGGTGGTGCATCTTTGTCGGCGATGCTGGGTTTTTTGATCCAGCCTGCGGCGGGAATGGGGGGGTCGTCGGTTATTGTGTTTTGTCGTGTTGGCAGCACTGGTTAAGCGGTAATTTTTAAACTCGGAAGAGTGTCTAGTCGTAAGTCACGCGATTCAAGTCGATCGTACGACACAGCCAGCCAGGTAGGCAATCCGACTACGTCGGATCGCAGACCATGCACCGGTCGGGTATGTCCGGTTCTGGTGTGTGTGTGTTGAAATCGGAAATTCGGATTCTGGGTTTGAGTGTCTAGCTATCAGTCATCTCGGGTAAAAGTCGATTCCCGAGTGTCGGATGCAGTGGGGGGACACTGGGGGTGTAAGTCGCTCGTATGCAAGTAGCTAGTCAGGTAGGCAATCCGACTACGTCGGATCGCAGACCATGCACCGGGCGTGTATGTCCGGTTCTGGAGTGTGTGTGTTGAAATCGGAAATTCGGATTCTGAGTTTGAGTGTCTAGTTATCAGTCGTCTCGGGTGAAATCCGATTCCCGAACGGACAATCCGCCTACAGCGAAAAGTGCTCGAAACGGCCGTTCAAATATGAAAAAGTATAGAGGAGGTAACAAAATCGTATTTTTTGATAATTATAGAGAACAGCTATCAGCTGCTGGTGTAGGCTTCATTGTAATCAATTATCAATGTAATCATTGTTATGTTTTCGCGGTTATAACAAATAAGTCGACAAAATCTAATTTTCTGATTGGCTGCTATTTTTACCGCGTCAAGAGACATCTAATGCATTGCCAGCTGCATGTTGTTTGGTTTTTATCAATCATTTCTCAAAACATCTTTGAAGTGAGTACACGTCGCTTTAGTATTAAAATAATATTTCTTAGGTTATGGTTACGTATTTGAATAAAACAAATTTTTTTTTTTTAATTCTAGCATGCCGAAAGACAGTGCAATAGGTCGTCAAAGTTTCAACGGCCGTGGTATGCGGGTGTACAATGCACCCGTATACCACAATGCTGTCCCCGTGCGGCGTCCGGGAGGAAACGCCCGACGTAAGTATCTAATAGAAAAAAGCACATGCGTATTGCATAAGCCAAGTATAACACTAAACATGATTTGTACGTTTCAGGATGTTACAGGTGCCGACAGGTGGGTCACCTGGCCAGAAATTGCGGTAAGTTTGTCCTATTATTTATTTTTTCACGTGCTAAGCTTTTGTAAATTTTATCAGACTCCCCCTGCTTGGTGCCTGCGGCATCGCCGGGCGCGTCCTCGTCGGGGCCGCAACAGGAACGGCAGCACCAACAACAACAGCAGCACCAACAACAGCGGCAACCGCAACGGCAGCGGCAACCGCAGCAGCGGCGGCAACCGCAGCAGCGGCGGGGCCGTGAGTTAAGGTAAGATCGCAAATACCAAAATATGTCAATTATCATCAAAAACATAAAATGTATTGTTTTCAGTAGTTTTGTCGGTCAGATGTCGAGGGCGGTGGAGGAGCCGGCCGCAGCCTCGACACCGAGATCAACGGGTGAGGAGGTGGGGGGGTACACGACCGCCTCCTCAACTCCTCAGCGCCAGAACGACGCCACAACTCCAACGTAAGAATAGTCAATATTATATAAATTAAAATATTAAAAAAATATAATTATATACATCATTTTCAGTGTGATCGGGTCGGCGAACAGTGGTCAGTGGGTGGTGATGGAGGCTGGTAAGTTTCAATTGGACGATTTTGTCTACTTCATAATTTATTTAACAATTGTATTTTTTTTAAATATTTTTCAGAATGAATAAAGCACCATTAATTCATGTAACTTTTATTGTTATTTATTATTTCCTTAATCCCAATATTGTTTTATGAACTGTAACAGTAACGTTTGTCAATTGACAATTGTGTGTGAGGTGTGTCATTAAATATTTTAGTAGTTGGTTAACAACAGTAATATATTATTAGTTAGTAATAATAAAATAGGTAAGTGATGTGTGTTGCTGGTTTGAAATGTAAGTGTTGAAAACCTTATCTTGATTTTATTCATCAGAATAGGGTTTACTTCACAAAATGTGCTAAAAGATAATTAATCATTATAACTGTAGTCCACTGGTGTTTAAATTTAGTAGTTTTATAAAATCCCACATTGTAATGACATTGTCGGGCAAGTGTTGTAATCAATTGAAAATATTTGTATAGCGTACATTGTTGTTAATATGGACTGATAAATAATCGTATTGTTACATAAAATAATGTAAACACTAAAAAGTAATTGATAATATAAAATAATTAATAATATTGTTGTTGAGAATATAAAGTAGTTAAGTGTTATCTGTGACAATTAGTATATCATTGATTATAAATATATTTATACATATATATATATAAATAATATAAGTATTTATAATCAATGATTATAATAATATTATGTAGGTGCTATTCAAATAGCTTGGCAACGGTCATTAGACTAATTGCAATAATTAAACCATAAATCTGTTTTTCAGTACCAATTAGTGTAATGACTTTCCAAATTTTTTAATATTAGCAGCAACATATTAATAAAAATAATAGTAGTGTGATAAATGTTACTATACATGAGAGTATTAATAAATATTTTTTTTTCTTATGATAAGATGTGTTCCAAGCTATTAGCTACGTGCTACATAGATGAACAATTAAGGTATGACTGTTATCTATAGTGTTAGTTGGAATAGTCTACATCAATAGTTGATCGACAAACGGCGTGCCGACACTAATATTTTAGTTATGGATTTAAACCAATAATTGATCATAATCAGAGATAAAGACCTAACAACTATATAATATTAAATATATGTGTATTATCATCTATAGACAGTAATATATAATAATAAAAGTAATACACAATAAGTATAATAATAATAAGTATAATACAATAAGTATAATCAAACGTAATAATATGTATAATAATTGAAATACTACAGTCACAGTTAACCAACCATCATATCATAAGCACATACAACAAAAGTGTATTTACCTACACACGGTATCGACAGTAAAAAATAAAAACTTCAATGTATTGTAGGTATTTTACAGTACGAACACAACGGCGTGCCGACACTAATATTTTAGTTATGGATTTAAACCAATAATTGATCATACTCAGAGATAAAGACCTAACAACTATATAATATTAAATATATGTGTATTATCATCTATAGACAGTAATATATAATAATAAAAGTAATACACAATAAGTATAATAATAATAAGTATAATACAATAAGTATAATCAAACGTAATAATATGTATAATAATTGAAATACTACAGTCACAGTTAACCAACCATCATATCATAAGCACATACAACAAAAGTGTATTTACCTACACACGGTATCGACAGTAAAAAATAAAAACTTCAATGTATTGTAGGTATTTTACAGTACGAACACAATGTTACATAGTTAAAAGGTAATTACAATTGCGATTGAACAAATAGATAGTGATACGACATGTTACAAAAAGTTGAGGTTAATTTAATTTGACTAATTTTAATACTGATACTTAAGAAACAAAATACAAAGGAAAATCATACTGTTATAATATAGAACATTGACCGTCGTCCATAGACATTGAAGTACGGATCTAAGGTTATACAATAACCAGATAGATGTTTGATAAGTACATAAAACAATTTACCTACGCACGGTAAAGACATTAAAAAATAAAAAATTCAACGTGTTGTAGGTATTTTACAGTTTGAACACAATGTTACATAGTTATAAGGTAATTACAATTGCGATTGAACAAATAGGTAATGATACGGCATGTTACAAAATACAGCAATTTCTATTATATAGTACTTCGACAGTCGTCCATAGACATTAAAGTACGAATATAAGGTTATACAATAACATAATTAATCTTTTAAGTTAAATACAGCGACAATATTTACAGTGATCACAGAATTAAATTTGTCTTTTTTGATGATATAAGGTTTAACAATAAGAAGTAAAACAAATACATACATTAGTTTATACATTAAAAGCATTTGTAATTTTGTTGGGTGTCATTTCAAAAATGTTTCTAAGGGTTTTCAGTTGTGGTTAACATGAATGAAACACAGAGTGGGAACTGAACCAATAATATCACTGTCGAAGGTAGCAGTGCAGTGCTGTGTTGGCCTGGCATGTTGTGGTTTGTATCTCAATGTTTCCACACAAAACAGCCTAAAAATACAATATACCAGTTAATGAATTTAATGAATAAGCTTATAGTATAATGTAGTTCTTAAAAGAGTGAGGCAGAATCAAATTTGTCATTTTGTTTGGTAAAGATACTTTAAGCACAACGTCAGTATATCTTGAACACGGGGTAGTTAAACATTAAAAATAAAAGTCAATGAAATATTTCTGATAATAAATTAACCTGAGAACATGACAAAAATATTAAATTGTATAGTGAATAGTGAATAAGAATAACACATACAACATATAATAGTTCTCAAGTAATAGTTAACAGTGATCACAGAAAATCAAATGCATTAACCTTTATAATGAAGAATATCAAAGTATTCTCATGAATATAAGGTTTTACAATAAAATATAAACATTAAAAGCATTTGGTCAATGAAAATAAATTGTTATAAGAGTATTAAGTTGTGATTAATACAAATGAAACACATGTTGGTGGTTTTGATGTGTGTGGGAAATGAACAAATTCTAATGCACTATTCATAATAACCTCAGTGTTGTGTCGAGAAGTCTCCAGAAACAAAAAACCTCGAACACAGCTTGATAGACTTGTGACCCATGGTGTTGCACGAACTGCGTCCATATCCGCCGAAACCTAAATGTAAATGTGAATGTGAGTGTAACGGTCATGTTCATTGGGACGTAAATGGTTCATACTTACTTGTGTATAGAAACTCCATGGCGGCATCAATGCTTCCACACCAAACACAGTTGTGGTTAACATGAATGAAACACAGAGTGGGAACTGAACCCATAATATCACTGCTGAAGGTAGCAGTGCAGTGCTGTGTTGGCCTGTCATGTTGTGGTTTGTATCTCAATGTTTCCACACAAAAACACAAAACAGCCTAAAAATACAATATACCAGTTAATTAATTTAATGAATAAGCTTATAGTATAATGTAGTTCTTTAAAGAGTGAGGCAGAATCAATTTTGTCATTTTGTTTGGTAAAGATACTTTAAGCACAACGTCAGTATATCTTTATAAAACCATTATAAAAGTTAATAACACTATTAAGGCAATATTGGGTTTATCTAATAAGGTCTATGAATTTTTTTGAACTCATATTAGTCTAAGTTAAAATGAATGAGTTATACGTATAAGAATATTCTGTTTAGATATTATGTGAACATGAATTGAACACGGGGTAGTTAAACATTAAAAATAAAAGTCAATGAAATATTTCTGATAATAAATTAACCTGAGAACATGACAAAAATATTAAATTGTATAGTGAATAGTGAATAAGAATAACACATACAACATATAATAGTTCTCAAGTAATAGTTAACAGTGATCACAGAAAATCAAATGCATTAACCTTTATAATGAAGAATATCGAAGTATACTCATGAATATAAGGTTTTACAATAAAATATAAACATTAAAAGCATTTGGTCAATGAAAATAAATTGTTATAAGAGTATTAAGTTGTGATTAATACAAATGAAACACATGTTGGTGGTTTTGATGTGTGTGGGAAATGAACAAATTCTAATGCACTATTCATAATAACCTCAGTGTTGTGTCGAGAAGTCTCCAGAAACAAAAAACCTCGAACACAGCTTGATAGACTTGTGACCCATGGTGTTGCACGAACTGCGTCCATATCCGCCGAAACCTAAATGTAAATGTGAATGTGAGTGTAACGGTCATGTTCATTGGGACGTAAATGGTTCATACTTACTTGTGTATAGAAACTCCATGGCGGCATCAATGTTTCCACACCAAACACAGTTGTGGTTAACATGAATGAAACACAGAGTGAGAACTGAACCCATAATATCACTGCTGAAGGTAGCAGTGCAGTGCTGTGTTGGCCTGTCATGTTGTGGTTTGTATCTCAATGTTTCCACACAAAAACACAAAACAGCCTAAAAATACAATATACCAGTTAATTAATTTAATGAATAAGCTTATAGTATAATGTAGTTCTTTAAAGAGTGAGGCAGAATCAGTTTTGTCATTTTGTTTGGTAAAGATACTTTAAGCACAACGTCAGTATATCTTTATAAAACCATTATAAAAGTTAATAACACTATTAAGGCAATATTGGGTTTATCTAATAAGGTCTATGAATTTTTTTGAACTCATATTAGTCTAAGTTAAAATGAATGCGTTATACGTATAAGAATATTCTGTTTAGATATTATGTGAACATGAATTGAACACGGGGTAGTTAAACATTAAAAATAAAAGTCAATGAAATATTTCTGATAATAAATTAACCTGAGAACATGACAAAAATATTAAATTGTATAGTGAATAGTGAATAAGAATAACACATACAACATATAATAGTTCTCAAGTAATAGTTAACAGTGATCACAGAAAATCAAATGCATTAACCTTTATAATGAAGAATATCGAAGTATACTCATGAATATAAGGTTTTACAATAAAATATAAACATTAAAAGCATTTGGTCAATGAAAGTAAATTGTTATAAGAGTATTAAGTTGTGATTAATACAAATGAAACACATTTTGGTGGTTTTGATATGTGTGGGAAATGAACAAATACTAATGCAAATATTCATAATAACCTCAGTGTTGTGTCGAGAAGTCTCCA